ATTGGATTAATTTAGCTTTAAATAAAAAGAAAAAGGTCAGAATAGCCTATATCAAACTCATGTAACTCTCAGCTAAAGCTGAACTTGTTTACTAAAAAAGTTTGTGGCTTGAATAAAACCAAGAGTTTAGAGCAGAGTATGTGGCTGATCTAACTGGAGTTGAAAAAAGCATCCCTCTCTTATAGAGCAAATCAACAAAAACAAATCATTTTTGAGTAATTCACATGTTCTCACATTGTGCTACATCACATAGTACTTCTTAAAGGTATAGTGGAGGACTTCGCACATTTTTTAAAAGACAATATACATAAAACCTACAAAGAATGCTTCAGACACTGCAGAAATCTACACAATAAAAAAGTAAAGTAACTGAATACAAAGGGGAATTTAACCCAACAGCTGCCAGATGCAGGAAAAAGTTCCTCAAAGCTTGCAGTTAAAGAACTCAAACAAGGTTTTCAAGGTGAGAATGGTCTCTGCTGATAAAAGTTGGTTACCTTAGGTGCTGATAAAAGGAGGGCAATAATTGCAAGCACTACTGCAGAAATAATGCGTGGAAGTAAGTAAACAACAGCGACTCTGTGTTGTTTGACTTGGAAGAATAAACAAATTTTTTAGATTCTTTCCCCTTAAACATCTTTAAAAAATTCTAATTGTTCTTCCTTAGAGTTTTTCCTAGACAATACTTATACTTATGCTTAGATGTATTCTCTAAAAGTGTAATTTCTTTTATAAGGCAGTGGCATACATTAAGAAGCACATAATATCTTTTTTTTCTTTTTCCATTTTAAGCTTACTTTTATAAGCAAACCTCCTCTTTAAGTTAAGGAAGTAGATTCAGCAGGATTTAATAAACTCGTTGAAGGGTCCATCCCCTAGCTGTCTTTCTAACCCTGGAAATAAAAGCATTTCATTGTAACTGCAGAGGAAAACACTTTGAATAAGGGATGTTTTTAAGTAGTAGAAGAGAAGCTCAAAGGCACCAAACAGACACGGCAAAGATTCTTATTCCATGTGTCTATATAATATCATTTCTCATTGTGAACATTTTACCTGGCAGGTAGCTGCTCTCTCTGACAAGCATGCAGACATCATCTCCGTGGGACTCCTTGATGAGACTCCCACACAGCAGTTTGCACATTATTCCTGTCTGAATTGAAGCTCAAACTGAGCACTGTCAAGCCAGCTCCCCATCTGATTGACTTCCAGCCGTTTTCCCAAAGGCAGTGTGAAAAAGTTCTGAATATGATGACTTCTTCTGTGCTGTAAAATGAATTTTAATGAGTTTAGCTCTCAGTGAGCAGAGATAAAAGGCCCACTTCATTTTGCTGGTTTTGCTCTCTCCTGCTCTCAAAGCAGCCAATAAGGTCTTATCTCATGGCCAGCAGGGCAAATCCTTTTGAGGTGGTCTTATTGCAGACGCTTCAGTCTCATTGTTCTTGAGTCAGATGTCGGTGCCTGGTGGCTGCTCACTGCTCACTATGAGACGTTTTATTCATTTTCTATATCCTTATTCTTTGACATCAAACACATCGGCTTGTGACTATATTGTTTTTTTTTTCTGGTACAACTAGAAAAACTGGAACCCTTTTAGTTTTTTGTGAATTAAAGTGACGTTAAATTCAGGAACAAACTGAATTATATGTTTTTTATCCTTTTTGCACAAAGAGGTTGCAAAATCTTCACCTCTAATAATTGTGATCATATCCAATCATTAAAAGATCAATAAGATACTCTGCTGAGAAATCTGTGTCATTTTTTTTCACATTTTGTGACACTGAAGAAAGAACGAAATTATTCTACTTTTATCATTTATTTTAATCAAAAAAAAGTTTTGTGGATATTTGATTAGCCTCTCTGAATCAGTCAGAGCTACTAGTTTTGCATATTTGAAGATTGCTATTTTTGGCCATTATTCTTCTTAAAATAACTTTAGCTCAGTCTGATGGGATGATGAACTACTGTACGCACATGGATTCATATTTTTATTCAGAAATTTTATTTGGACTTTGATGTAAACCATTCTATTGCAGGCTGTGTGTTTTGTTCCGCTGAAAGGACAACTTCCACCTCAATTTGAAAGATTTTCTACCAGCAGATTTCTTTCTTGGAAAGCTCCATATTCAGTTCTATCCGTTCTACTATCAACTATAAACCAGCTCCCCTGTGTGGAAAAAATGGCATTCCCACAGCATAATGCTACCACTACCATGATTTCCCATAGCTATGGGGGGTTAAGGGCGATGTGTAGCATTTGTTTTCTGCCTTATTTTACTGATTAGCATAAAAAATCTTGCCAGAGTATATTGTTCAAGATATTTTTCTCTGTGTGGCTTGTAGAAACAATCCTACTTATGACCTTTTCCTCATTAATTTGTCTTTATTATGTTTTTCAACTTATACAGGCAACAAAAAACCCCATACAGTGAAAGGCGGAAAAAATAAAATAAATAAAAATAAGTAAGTCAATAAATAAAACTAAATCAGGAAAACCTGTAACAATATGTTCAAAAAAGAATAATATAGAATACTTATTACAGAAAAAACAAAAAACACGAAAACATGTGACATTAAAGCTCAGATAAATTAATTAATTAAAAGGATACATGAGCAGATATCCAGGCATTACAGTGTAACTATAATAATTGGTTGAATACACACTCAAGTATGGTTCCCTCCAGGAATCTTAACCAGATACAGTAAGTCCTTTCTGTCCTTTCCCTTCTGTATAGTCCGTGCACTCTCTATGCCAATGTAATCAGAATGGATCCCCCTCATGAATTTGTTAAATGCATTACAGTTATATGTCCTGCCAATGGATTTTCCCACCTATACAGTGGATCTCTTTACCTCCTCCTATGTTACCATCTGGCTTTTAGGTGTTTCTCTGACTTAAATGTTTCAACTACTTTACTTGGTCTTCATAAAGCATCTTTTTTACTAGTGTTAAAGCTTCTAATGCCTTCCCTTAAGAGCTGGATATATTCTGACAATTATATAAACAGGCAGAAAAAGTTGATTTCATGTTATCTTATTCAAGGTCATTATATTAAAGATGGGGCAGAAAAAAATAAGAAGATATACTATTTTAGATTCTTAGTTAAACGTGAAAAGAAAGGGAAGAAAATAGTTCATTTCTGCTGTGTTTTCAAAAGTTCTTCAACAGTTCTTCCCAACTTCAACCTTGAGATTCTGCCAGTTACTTTCCAAGCACTGCGCCTGTGGGCTCCAGTGTCAACAAAGTGCCTTTTTATAGCGCGCCGTGCTGTGTGATGGTCAAGCTACATATCTGTTAGAGGCTGTCAGCGAGCTGCCCCTTCATCCGCAGAAATAAGGATCCTCCTCAGTCATATTTAGCCTGGCTGGCATGGTAACGTTCATAAAGCAGGCACTCATCAACGTCAGTAGGGATCATCTTGGTTATTCCATGCTTCACTGAGGCCCCATGCAATATCAGCCACCAATTTGGTCATAAATATTTTAGTTTATAAATACAGAAAGAAATATTTCTTGAAACTTTTCATCCTTTTTTGTTTCATTGTTGCTAAGTGTTTCTATTACTAATTAGCAGACCTTAATTAAACTTAACTGAAGTTTAAAAATATGATTAATAGAATCAAAGCTCATTTAATAATATGTTGAATCACTAATACATTATATATGTTTGGTTCATGTGTTGCTGAAAATTGATGATGTTGTAAGTGTTTTAAAACCTTTTGAGTTAATTAATTGCACTGTTTGAATTTAAAGCAAGTATTTATAAATATCTGCATGTGATTATATCCATAATAGCTTAATTTATTTAAAGCTTTATCTGGTATAGCAACAGCTATGGAGGTCGCTGCGATAAGACCTATGTTTTTTAAGTTTTAAATTTATAATAAATTATGTTTTTTAACATCAAGGTTGTTATTTATTACTTTATAAAACTTTTATCTTTTTAAAACCTTCTACACTTATTGGAGTCCTGACGAAGAGATTGAAAGACTTTCTGTTTAATTTTTCCTCCAGTTAACCCTGCTCTTTGATTCTTAGAAATCAGACTTTCTGCGGAGACACTGAATAGTCAATAGTGAGCACAATAACTCCATATCTCACAAACCGTTTTACAATGAGTCTGTAAAAAACGGAAGGCGAAGTGCAGGTTTCCATTTAAACAGAAAGGCAAAGCTGAATAAAAGCTGGATACTTCCTTGTCGGAGTGCTTTCTCTAATAAATAAATCCTCCTTAATAAACCATTAAAGAACAGCCGCCTCCCCGCCTCATTGTGCAACTGAAGCTGAATATTTGTGAGTAAGGATGACTTAACGTTTGCTTTCAGAGGAAAGGAGGCTTCCCACTGGGAGATGGAGGTAAGAAGGTGCAAAATCAATTTTCAATCTCAGCAGAGACAAAGAAATGTTGTTTTTTTTCCTCTAGGCTTCTGCTGAGTTCAGTGAATCAATTAAAAAAAAATAAAAAATACAGCACGATAAAAAAAAACATAACCAAAACAGGCTAACCAAATGTAAAAGTGAAACAAAAGCAAATTGGGAGTTTCTCTACATAAATTGCAGGACTAAATGGAATTGGTTTTTATGTGGTGGTCTATTGCTGTGCTTTAGACCCGCTGAACAACTGAGTGTAATAACTCAGGATAGGAAAGGTCAGAAAAATAACCAGCCTGCGGCTTAGTTTAACTACTGGCCCTAAACAAGGAAACGCAGCCACAACATCCGATCACAGCTAGCTCATCAATTTCAAACAGGGATGCCACAAAAATGCTTGTGTGTTTGTTTGCATCTATGTTTGCAGTGGGAACGCTGGATGCTTGGCCTACCTTTGACAGTGTCTGGACAACTGCTGTGAACACAAACACACACACACAGATGCCAAGGAGATCCGGTTTTTACAATCAAAGCAGCCCGAGGTTAGGATGTAAATCTTTGCACATGCCCCCACCCCCTAATCACCTTTTTATAACCTCCCTCATTTCATCCTTAGCTCTCTGCTAAAATAAACTCAGTGAGGTAAGTGCCGGAGGCATCCTGAGATGAGTTTTATACAGACTGTTCCTTCGGGGCTGAGGAGTGTCCGAGTCGAGCAAGGAAGCATCCAAGATAAGGCATTGAACTGCAGGGAAAGGAGAAGGAAACACAGGTAAGGTTGGAAATAGATCCACTGATCAGTTATAGGCTTTGACATCAGATTCAACCAAAAACAATATACTGTAACTTTTGATAATCCTGTCCATGCGCTGCTCGATCAAAGAGACTTTAGTTAACAGCTAGGGCTAGGTCTGAAACAAACGGATTAATCATGATTATCGATTACTGAAATAATTGTCAACTAATTTGGTAATCGATTAATCATTAAGTGGAGTATAGAGACTCTAAAGCATGCCTTTAGCTGACAGAGCAACCCCTTTAGAGCAGTAATTGCACCAAAGCTGTAAAAAAAATACATAAATACTAAGCATTTAATTTTTTTTTTTTTTTTAAACATTGTTTTTGTCTAACAAAATGCTCTATCCAAAATTCCTTAAGTGGAAACGTTTTAGTTTCACCTGGTTTTATTTTGCAAAAAATCTTTAAGGAACCTTTGAACATCGGTTTATTAATCAAAAAGATAATCAATAGATTAATATATTTAAAAAATAATCTTTAGTTGTAGCTCCAGCCTGGACATGTCCATTAATCCAACTTGCAGCAATTTTTTTGGCATCAGCTGTTAAAAAGTTTTGTTATGATTAAATTCTTTTAACACAAATCACATTTTCTCCTTATCTATCATCTGCTCACGATGAAAGGAAAAAATATGCATTCAGGAGCAGATGAAATGACCAGGCAGAGGATGTTGCAGGCCAAAGCTTTGTCTCAGGAGGCCCGAGGAGGTAAGAATTCACATGCTGATCATCACTGCTTGTTTTTGGGGTTGCAGGGGCCTGGAGGATGGCAGCAGCATGCAAACACAGTACCGGTAGTCAGATTCAGCTCAAAGTTTTTAAGATCTTTTTTCATGTCAGGTCGATAGCAATGCATGTACTGAGTTTTAATGTATTGTATAAAATGTCCAAATTGCAAGTATACATAGCTGCACACCACAGCTGGCTGAGGACGCTAATGTCTCTATTGGAGCTTAATTAATGAGTTATCAGCATCTGGACAGCTTTTTTTTTTTCACGTCAGTACAAACTTCAACAATGCAAAATGGTCTTCTTTTCTGTCTGCTGAAGATGAAACTTTTAGGGGACATAAGGTTTACTAACTTCATTAGTTAACTCTTTATTGTGCCTAATGTAGGGTAAGATCTCAGCTGGGTGTGTTAGATATAAGTGAAGCAAAAACATCAAAGTGTTTAACTCCTTAGAAACAAGTAGACACAGATACTCTGAAACCCTTGGATCCGGTGATGTGTGGAAGAAATTCCCCAAACATTCCAGCTGGGACTATCCCCGCTGTGCCATTTGTTACCCCGGTGCTGTCCGCTAGTAAGGCTTTGAAAATTGTTCTCCTAAACTCAGCAAAACGTGACTCCCACCACTGAATTATACACAGGGTGATCAAAGGCAGCTCCTCCAGGGTGGCATAGGCCCGGACTTCTCCCAACACTTATCATGTGTGAGAAAAAAGGACCATCTGCTCCAACAAGATCCTTTCATCCAAAGATCCTATTTATGTGCCCAGTTTCCCATTTAACTGAGGAGCACAACAAACATTACACACCATTTGACATCATCTCCAGGCTATTTCAGACCCTCCATCATGCCGCAAACCAAACCAAGAAGGACCCCCCCTGAGCAAAAGCTGCATGGATACTTAGTGACGTCAACACATGGTTTGGCTTTTAAATATAAGTGCGCCTCAGCTGTTTCATGTTGACAGAAACAAGAAGAGCACTGGGAACTTCAAGCTTGCCAAAAGCCCTTTTTTAATTTCCAAGTTCTCTTCTGTTTAAAATTTGTTCAAAGATTATTTAATTTCCTGAATTCAGATTTGTAAGTCTTTATGTAATGAAAAATACAACTTGAATAAAAAAGAAAGATTTCTGATACTTTTAAACCATTTGTTAAAACACATCTAGTTTTGCATTTTAGATACGCCTAACCCTCTAAAAAGGTAAGATAAGGAATGTAGAGATTAGTGATAAAATATATATTTATTTCAGAAACACAGATAATATATCAGCCATTGATTGTAGACACTTTTTCAGAAAAGATTTAAGTAGAACAGGGAAAATTGAGAGAAAAGGTTCCAAAATGTGTGTTAAACTACAGGAACATTTAATCATCAAATAAAGAAGAGATATGATCTGCATATTACTGTGCAATTGTTTCCTTTATTGTGAAAATAATTAAACAGATTTCAGAACCTAAAGGCAAGTAGAAGAAGGATGAAAGTTGAAATTTTAAAAAACTGGTTTAAAGCGCCTTAAATGGCATTGCATCAGAATTGCAATATGGACAAAAAGATGAAAAGGAAACATCTTTAAAAATAACTACAATAAGGATCCCTATTTATCAAAGAAAATCACAGATTTAATTCAAATATATATTACTTTTAGATTAAACGAAGTTTAAATAAACCAGCCCACCATTATGAGCTAAAATTTCACTCACTATCTGAGTATTGTGGTGTTTAGTTCCTGTAAAAAAACAGAAAACACTTTAAAGTTTATTTCGTGTTTTTCAAGCTGTTATAAAGGACTGAAGTTTATTTTCTATTTCTTTGTCATTTTATTTAAGCAACAAAGTACATTTTTTTTTAATTAAGATCCTTCATGCCTACAGCTGTCAACACCTAGAGCACCTCACTGAAAAACTCCCCATGAGTTACTGCAACATATAACTTTGGGATTAATAACTTTATTTCTAAATTGAACTTGAATGAATTAGAATGAATGTATGCATTTCACATGACAGGTCTAAACTTGGGGAAGAAGATCAGCGTTCCAAAAGACGTGATGTTTGAAGAGCTCAACCTTTCGTCCAATCGAGGCTCCCGGATGTTTCAGGAGCGACAGAGGAGAGCCGAAAAATTCACACTAGAGAACGTGACCAACGGACCTCACAACAGCAACGTAAGAAACAGAGAGGACCCAAAACAACAGCCTTAAAAAAGGGACACGTTCAGTTATGTGTTCTGAGTTAGAGTAGGTTTAGTGGGTTATTCACTCCTTTAATCTGCCTTTAATATAAGAGGAGCAAGATAACTAGAAGAATGGATAAAATCTTAAATTTGAACATGTAATTACAGATAAAAATAGGAATATTAATCAAACATAAAATAAAACCGTATGTAGTTTGAAAATTGGAATAAAGAAGCCAGTGGCTTTAAACTTTACCCTCATTTTACTCATCCAGTATATAAATTATGCATTTCAGTCCAGAATATCTAAATACTTTCTGCATCATAAATATTAATGACTATAATTTGTCCTCCATGGCACAGTTACCCAGTCTGCACTATCCACAAATCTGCTTCTACAATAAATTAATTCATTAAAAGTTTATATTATCTACACATCTAACTATAGGCAGTCTCCTTGAAGATTTCCATACAACTTAAACAATAATATCTGTTTTCTTTGCATATAGTCCATATTGGACACATCCTAGAACCCCATCATGATTGATGGGTAATTAGCTACCACATCCCCTATTATCAGGCCATAAATCTTTTACATCTTTTGCCAAAGCTCACTTTCTATCACTTAATATCTTTATATTTTTGGCATGATTCTTTTTCTGTTCATAATTTGTAGTTTAAAGATCCACAAATTTGATCATATTTGACTTTAATAATTGTGAGTATTGTACTTTATACTGTACTGTACACTTTAGATCTCCTTCCATATGAGCTTTTCTTATTGCTCTTTTTTGTTATGTACAAAGTGGTTTTAAAGGACTTTAGAAGATACTTCCCAATATTTCACAATACCTTAACTACAGAGAACCAATGAATGATACAGAGGGCCTCCATGGTTTAATACAAAGCTCTGTAACCTGCAACTTTAAAGCCACATGTGGCTCTATGGCCCCTTGACTGTGGCTCTAACTAAACTGAATAAGAAATTATTTTAATTATTAATGATTAAGTCACTTGTGGATATTATGCAACATCTGCATAGAATATCTTTAGGATAACATCCCCAATGATACAAGAGTTTTTTAAATAATTACATGTATTTTTATTTTTTTTTTTGCTTTAACTATGTGTGTTATATCTATAGGTGGGCTAAGTTTCATTCTTTGTCTTTCATATTTATGGTTGCTCATCCAGCTTGACTCATTCAAAAAGAAAAAAAAAACATTCTCTTTTGTGTGTATAATCTTTAATGATTATATTTCTTTAAACTAAAAATCTTGATTTGATATCCTTGGCATTCAATATCTATAAAATCTTAAGTATGGCCCCAGGCAAATTTTATTTAGTGGTGAGGTGGCAAAAGTGGCTCTTTGAATTTAAAAGGTTGCAGACCCCTGGTTTGGATCAAAACTGTTACAAGCGGTTGTAACGACAAAGCAAGCATATGGAAGAAAGGGCTCTGGTCAGATGAGAACAAAATCAAACATTTAGTCAGAGCTCTGTTTGTGGTGAAAAACCAATACTTTCATAACTCTGAACACAACGTACAAACCCAAAGTGACATATTGTGGTGGCCAGCATTATACTGCAGGTCTGCCTTTGATAGGGAGAACGCTGGAGCTTAGAGTTGTGCGATCATGAAAGAAAAGCTACAAAAGGCTTCAAATGGTTAGAGTCAGGGGTGGTTCAGGAAGACAACTCTAAACAAGCAGCACAAGAAAGAATGCAACTGAATAAATGAGAAAAAATCTTTTAAAGCGGTCCAGTCGAGTCTGGACATAAAGGCGAATGTGAATCAGCAATCAGGTTTTTAAACTTAGGCCTAATGTAGTTGCTGAGGGGAGCTGGATAAGGAGGCATTCTACATGGATGTCTGGAAATGAGGCATCTTTTTCCTTCTACATTGGAAAAAATTGAAATCTAGACAAGACATTATTTCTTAAAATAAGTGAATTTGTTCTTGAATTGAGATGTTAAGAGAAACATTTTGCCAATGGAACAAGACAATAAAGACTTATTTCAAGTGCATTTTATCTAAATATCCTATTTTAAAAGTAAAAATACTCATTCCATGGGCAAATCATCTCATTTATCTACTCAAATTAAGGGTAAATGCAGTTAATTTGAGAAATTTTAACTTATATCTAGATCATATTTCCAATGTAAGTCCCTGCACTAGAAATACGATCTAGACATAAGTCAAAATTATGAAGTGTAAATTGCCTTGTTCCATTGGCAAGATGTCTGTTTTACCTCCTCAATCCAAGAAGAAATGAACTTATTTTAAGAAAAAATGACTTATCTAGATTTTGACTTTTTCCAATGTATTCAGTTCAATACTACTATATCAAACCAAATATTGTCAAATGCATTTCTAGGCCTTGTTTGTAAGATTTTTATTCAAAAATGCATTTTTTTTTTTTTAGAAGGTGGTGTTAGTTTTTCTTCAGCTGTTTTCTATAGAAACTTTTATATGTTTCAAAATATGTGTCACCGAAAAAAATAAAGCAACCGTTTTTGGCATTGACTTAATCATATTTAGTTACTTTAACACAATTGTTTGATGTTAGCAGGGTAGGATATAAAACAATTGTGATAAAGTGACTAAATATGATTAATTAACACCAAAAGCTGAGGTCTGCATTAAAAACCTGGTGATTTGATGTCACAGAGGAATATAATGGTACTTTGAAAGTGTGTTGCCATTTAAGGGTTAGACACATTTACAGGGACATAAATGTCTGTGTTTCCTAGGTTCATCTTGAGCTCAGCCCCCCCCAGCAGACAGTTCCCGTGGCGCAGGGAGGAAAAGAGAACCAGGCTTTCTCCATCCCCGGTAAGCACAGCCTGGTCATGAACCTTCAGAAGACAGTAGCAAAGAAGGGCAGTCCTGATGTCCTGGCTCCAGGTAAATGGAAGAAAGGTCCACCATAAGCCCAGAATGGCTCTTAGCATTGCCAGAGCTTGAGCAATGCATGGACACTGTTACACCCTGATATGCCAGAGCTCACCTTTCCAACCGCACTCTGAGCACATTAATTTGTTTTATTATAATCAGAGCCAGAGGAGCTGGCAGTTTGTGGAAAGCAATTATCTTGTGAGCATCTTTGCTGAGGGCTGTTGTATATTTGGCCTGGCAGAAAGCACTGCTTCCAGTCTGACTGATGAGCATCTAAGCTCTGTTTATTATCAGAGATTCACACTGAGATCTCATTACTGTCATTCCTATTGCTGACAGGAGTGACATCAGAGAGATTTGTATGTAATCTTTTTTTCCCCTGCATGCTTCAAAGCAGCATTTTATTTTTGTTCAGTGGGTGGGAGTTGAATTTAATTAAAGTTTCACAACTTAAAGTATTCAACATTACTCAAAGACATTAGTAGCTTTTCTGTTAGATGGATCCTACTTGACTCCTTTCGCATTTTTTTCTTCCTTGACCAGGCTACTCTGGACCCCTAAAGGAAATTCCACATGAGAAGTTCAACACAACAGTAATCCCCAAATCCTACTGCTCCCCGTGGAGGGAAGCTTTGGGAGACAACGAAGAGCTTCTGAACACCCTCAATACCCAGCTGCCACAACCGCCACAAAGACTACAGCCCGCCAACTACAGGAGCTTCAACAGGTAAACACGAATAAATCTACACACTTAAACCTTGTTGAGTTTGGAGCGTGGACGATGAGACCTGTTTATCTCCAAATAGAGATGACCTCATCAAGAGATCCATTATCATCTTATCCCCCCCAACCCTTTGGCTTAGGGCCATGTTTCCACAGGTTGAAAGTGATTCCTGTCTCTGGCTTTCACCTCCTTAGACTGAAGCAGCGTGATGGTTATTTTCATCTCAGGGGCCTTGATAGATGATCCACAGGAACGGTTGGGGTGTCTACAAGCTTTCATGACCCAATAAGACATACAGCACAGGAAAAAGACTCGTCTTTCACATGGCATACGTGCAAGATGGAACAAATGTGGAGCCAAGGCAGATGGGGAAATGAGGACGGCATGAAAGACAAACTGAAAGAAAAGCTGTCAGTCTGAATCAGTCCGCTTGTAGGGCGATGCACCCCCTGTGGAGGGATCCTCTTACATCCTTAAGATTATTATGAAATTACAGCACCTTTAAAACTGGACTCTAATAGCCAGGGAGAGTGGTCAAGTTCAAGGCACACCCAGTTTTAATGGTGTTCAACCCCCGGTGGGTTTTAATGAAGAAAAAAAAAACCTTGTTTAGAGCCGTGCATATCATGTGTCGTGTAAAAGAGTTTCTCTGTAATCTAAAGAAGAGCTACTTCTCATTGAAATACATTTGGTGTAACCCACTTTCTTCCCACCTCTCTGCAGAACTCCGATGCCATTTGGAGGCACAATGGCCAGCAAGAGAGTCATCCCAGTTATTGCCTTTGAGGCTGTGGAGTCCCAGAACCTTCCTGCCGTCGCTCTGGACCGCATGTGCAGACGGCCAAACTTCAACAGAGCACCAAGAGGATGGGGAATCGACTACAGCCCTGAATCTAACGAGCTATGAGGGGGACTTTATGAGACAAAACCTAAAGCAAGAACCTCTCTCCTTTCAAAGACGATCCCTCTGTTGGTTGTAAACAGAGAGAAGTTGAAAAAAAAAGTAACACTCTAGCGTAATAGTGGTTTGCTACCTATGAGTGTTGTGAGGATACTGATGGGCCGAGTCACGGGTTTACAGTGCCTTGCAGAAATATTCATCTTTAACGGGAAATGGTTGTAAAAACAAAGTCCCATGAGCCCTGATCAACCAGTCATCTGGAAATGAAAAGTGCCAAAAACCTAACAAGACAGGGTTGTCCCCTTAAACTGACGGGGAAATAGCCAAGGTAGATTGATAGTATTGGAGCACAACTATTGCAAAGGATAATTAACCTTACTGGTCCCTGCAAACATATATTTTAATTGAAATTTGACTTCAGCATTTAACCTATCATATCTCTGATAGATCAGTGGGCCGCTTGGAGCTGCCTGAGGAGCACCCTGGGGCTAGGGGTCTTGCTCAGGAACCAAGCACTCTGTTCTAACCACCACTCACATATTGGTCATTAACTGCACCATTCTGGCGTTAATGGGACAGCAGGAAAGAACCAGAACACAGGAAATGTGTTAGGATGCTCTTGTGTAATTAGACATGGAAAATTTTTTCGCATTCAAAATACTATTTTTGACATAAAGCTTATGACATCCTGAACTCAGCATCCCAATGCAAAGGCATGGAGATGGGAACTACATGTCAGACGTAAAGCTACTTAGCTTTAGGCAGTCTGTCTAAATCTAGTTGAGAATCTGTTGCAAATCATGAGCATTGTGGGTCTGCAGGCAGCAGGCCTTTAGTCTGACTAAACTTGACCATTGAGCTAACATTTCCATATCTAAATGGACAAAGCTGGTAGAGGTGAACCTCAAATGACTTGAAGCTGTAAGAGGAGGTTCCATAAAGCAATAACTCAGGGTGGCTGTGCACCAATGAATGCCTCATTTCAATATTTGTTTAAAAGAAGAGGTTGGAAAAAGATTCAATTACTTCCCCCTCAATAATTTAAACAGCTTTACATATCACATAAAATCTAATTACAAAAGTCATGGCTGTAACAAAAAAGAAGCTCAAGGGGAATGAATACTTATGCAAGGTACTGTATTTATTGCTCCCTACATGTCCCATTGAAACCTCTGTCCTCTTGTTTTTACTTTGTGGATTTCATTCTTCTCTAAAATGAACCTTTACAGAATATGCAGTAAAAACATACAAGATAATCAATGACAAGGGTTTCATTTTAATGAGGTGACATATGTAACAATTTAACAAAGTCAACATAATGTTAAATTCTCCAATCGTGTCAAATAAAAAAGAAAAACAAATCAAGAGTAACTGAAGATAACAGATTTAAAAATACTTTTCAGTATTAAACTCTATGAGATGCAATGAAAAAAATGAGACAAAGACAAATTTACTCCAAAGACTAAGTTTTTTTATATGTACAGTGGCTCTGTGTGGTCCTGGTCATATCAGACACATACTCCCATGATGAGAGGTTGTTTATACTGTTTGCTATTAGTTAATCAAAGTTCTGCCTCCTCTCACAGCACAGAATTCATCTGCTGCTCTGCTGGGTGTATCTATAGGTGCAGGTTTCTTGTACATGTGGTCCTCAGACCCACAGAAGCCTTAAACATGCTAACACCCAAGCAGGGTTAACATGAGGAATCCAATCTTCACTCCTGCAGCTACTCGGTGGGACGTGAGCCGTGTGCCGAATGGGCTCCCATGCGCTGGGGATCCTGGGATGGATAATGGATTGTACCTGGGGGTCTCATTGTCATAGGAGGGGGCACAGGTGGGGCCATGTGACCCATGGGGTGAAACATGGGCGGGCCGTAACCTACAGAAGAAGACGTGTCAATATTGTTATCCATTGCATCCAGTCTGCACCAGTAACAATAATCAGGATTTTTATTTTTTTTTTACCTGGTGGAGGGGGGTTTATGCCTGGAGGGGGCGGCAAAGCAATGTTCATGATGGCAGACGAGGAGCTGGGGTCTAGGTTAAAGTAGTTAGCAGGAGCCTCCTCATCCAGAGATGGTGGTGGAGGCAGTGCTAAAAGAAATAACATTTTTCTTATTATTTTAAACTGAAGAAACAATATCTGTTTGTGTTTAAACATGTATAGATATTCAAACTCTTTGCTCACCTCCTGGCAGCCCAGGCACAGGATCCAGTGGAGTACCCATCTCACTCACTCCATCCTTCGCGCCATCCTTTCCTCTAGCTGCCTGAGACCTAGAGAGTCCCAGCATCTATGTTAAATGACTGCTCATTAAACATCAAACAAATGTATGTAGCGGGTGACGGCAGCGTTCATCGTAGATCAACTCTCTCCAGAAAACTCTCACTGAGTCAGTAATGGTACCCTCTTAAAAGCGCTGTAGTCACCAATTTACTGACACGTTCCAGCAATGCTGGGATTAAACTCAGGCTGTTACAAACACTCATCCTCCTTGAGAACCACCTGGCTTTTAACAAGCACATTATAGCACAGCTCTCAAAGTGGCTCCGCTTGCTGCGGCTGCATGGCGGTTCAGAAGCGTCTTACCTTCCCCACTTGACAGTGAGCCTCCGTCCATTAATGATTAGTTTGTTAAAGGACTTTTCTGCAGCCATCTCTGCTGCCTGCCGAGTGGCAAATTGGATGAAGGCACACTGCTGTCTTTGGACTATAGTGATGGTACGAATTTCTCCAAATTGATAAAAGTGACTCCTGTAGTGATTAAAAAAGAAAGAAAAAAACACTTTGTTAAACATAAAATAATGTAACCGAGAGATTAAGCACATAGATTCTGATCTGAAGTTGATAGAAAGCTTAATAAAACCCTTACTTGAGATCTCCATCTGTTACTGTGTCTCCCAGCCCTCCGATGTAAAGAGTGCTGATGGACTTGTCCTCTGGGGGGTCCAGGCGGGGCATCGTCGAGGCTCGCATCAGCAACTTGTTAGCAACAGGGTCATTAATGCCGTAATAACGATCTTTAATGTTCTGGTCGGCCAGAGGGTCATCAGGATCTGTTGGCTTCTCATGCCTGCAGAGAAAACAAAGACGGAAAATAAAATGCTGCATTAAACACCATCACACTTCCCCTCCGTTCATACAGTGTTTGCATGACACAAAATAATTTAAAGTCGTAATAACAGGATGGGGCACCAATATTACCAAAAGCTTCAAATTAAAACCCTGTCAAATGAGTATTGAAAGATGTCTAAAACGCTTTAAACATGATTGTAGTGAAAGAAACACAATCCCTTTATCAACTATGAAACAATAAAAAAAAACATTAAATCACTTTTGTTATTAACATTTGTTAAGGCTGAAAAATATTTATCTTTAATTAAAGAAAGAGTACGAGATTTTGTTAATATATGATAATGAAAAAATACTGATAAGTTTCTGAAAACAGGCTAAAAAAATACAAAATTGAGTAAAATAAAAGAAAATATTTCTTCCAAAATAAAAGCTAGTTTCAATCTTGACTATGGATGTATATTTAATATCTGAATAGGTGCATAGTAAATTGGAAAAATGTAAACTATTCCTTCTTGGGGTCTTCAGGAATTGATATTAGAGGGCAGGAGCATGACGGTGAGCTGAGGAGCAGCCTTATTTTTTAGTTGAATTTGGAAACATTTAAAAAGCTGCTATCTAAAGACAACATGCAATAAAACATCTCCTTTAAAAGAAAAACGACAAATTGGAACAATTGAAGCCTTGTAAACAAGTAACAATAAAATTGTCAATAAAAATCATTGAATTTAAAAAGGTAGCCTCTGTAGAGACATTCAAACAAATGTTTTTGATCTTGTTAACAATAAAGCATTCATCATGACTCCAAAACAACAAAAAAGCAAAACAACACAGATTTGAGGATAAAACTCACCTGTAGGGGCATTCTTCTCCCCTCTTACACTCCCCCTTCACCCAGAAGGAGCAGATGTGAGGTCGGTTCCTTTTATAATATGGTGTTGTTCGGGCCAATTTAAGCAACATGTCACTGGAGCTTGGAGCTTTACCGAGCTGGCCTACGGGTCGAGTGCCATCAGTATTGGCTATCTGCAGACATACATTTAAACAGAGATAAAAATAAAAAAAAATGTAGGTGCATAAAAATGAATAAAAAAAAATTGCAAAAAATTATTATAGATCTCATTTCAAAATTATTTAGGGAAATCATACTTGTTTTAATTATTTTGATTTACTGGAAGGAAATAATAAAAACAGTATACACTACTGTTATGAGGCAACTACTAATTAAAGAAAATTAGATGACAACAAACTTAACCTCTCATTTTAGTCACTGTACACCAATGTACTTGTATAAAATTTATGTGAAAGCAGCTATTTTGCAGTCATACCTCTCTTTCCATGTTCTGTGTGTAATACTCTTTGTTCACATCAGATCTAGGAACCTCGTCTTTAACAGACAGGCCGGTGTCTCTGACCTGGATAGGCAAACCTGTGGACCGCAGAATACAACCATAGGGTTACAAAGGTCAAGAGTGGAAAAAATATTAAACCCCTTTAGGGGGAAGAACATTTAGCACCATTTAATTTTACATTAGTGGATAGAAAAACTTTCATTGGAATCACGGGACAAATCCCAAACCGCTCCCTAAGCAATACGCCTTAACTATTGACTGTCACTCCCAATGAAGTCACACTCACAGCTGTGGGGGGGTGCCTTGATTGAATGTGGGGGGCATAAATGAGAATACAACCTCTTCCCTCCAACAGAAAAGGAAAACAACTGTTGCTATGGCAACATAGTGATGAACCATGTGCGTGGCTGTCGCTCTGTGGTAAAGCTTGACAAGATTTCAACCATTTGCCCTTTTCTTAAAGATACATTTCTATAGTAAAAAAGAAAAAAATTCAAAAAAGACCTTCCCTTTTGGAATTTAAACTTTTTTTTTTCTTTTTCAAACTTGTGATTTTCTGTGAGTGTGACCAAGATACAGCAAACCAGTGGAACTTATATTTGATGGCACGCGTTTCCTCTGCCATTAGCTCGCCATTACACCCGCTGCTAAATCCTAGCAAGTCTATACTGCTGCAGACTCGCTGTTTAAGGGCTGAACTGTCCACTCGCCCTCCCCATTACAGGGTTTAGGAAGGCCCTTAACGTGGCAGACATTCCATAGCAAAACTCAAACAGAGGGTTAATTCCTAGGGGAAGTGTTTAAGGGCCGGTTTAAGATTGGCCCATAGTGTTGACACCTACCGAGCATTTTCTTTGCAACACCTACAGAACTCATTGTTTGTTAAGAGAAAAATATGAAAACTAGAAGCTATTTTAACTCCAAATGAACAAAAACTTGACTATTATGAATAAGTCAAAAAAAAAATGGAGAAAAAAAAAAAAAAAAGAGGAAAAAAAATAGAATTTCACAGAATTAAAAGGGAACATTTACATCTTATTTGACTTAATTGAAATACAGGAACTATAAGAGAGAAACTAGTCAAGTACTGTGTGCCTTTTCATCTAGGTCTTTATCAAAAACTCTACCATAAAATAATTATTTTTGATTTAGTAAGGGCATTACTTTGGAAGAAATCAAAGAAAGTTTTGCATCACCCCTCAGTATTTTTCATGCTTGGCTGATGATGTGGTTTGTTTATGTCTGTTAAACTCAGTGTGAATTGTGACACACTGGGCAAACAAAGACTTACCGTACTCCAGGTCCAGAAGGCATGTCTGACAAACGTTCTTCATTTTACTGCAGGTCTGACAGACCTCAGTCTTTTTAAAACGCATCCGTGTTCCTGGGCACCATCTGAACACAGTAAAGGGGCGAGCACAGATCTGGGGAACGAAAATGAAAACCTCAGGCATGTTCTTACAACCGTGTTGTTTTCTGAGTAGGTCTCTTTGTATAATGTTAGACATCACCAGAGGAGGAAAGCCTACCTTGCACTCTTTTCCATACTTCTCCTTGGTCTGCAAAGGGAAAAATAAATTATTTTACATGTTAATGAGAAGGTTCAGTCCAATGCAGAGCTAGAGACCTTACCATACGGATGTAGGGATTTTCTCCTAAACATGTCTGACACAAAATTGGAAAGTCCTGGAAAAGAAATCAAAATAGATTGTTACATAGCAAAATAAATGGTTGAATTATTTCTATTTGGTAAGGTTTCTCATTCTCCCTTGCTGATTATATATCTAAGCATATTAAAACAACAATAAAAGTGTACTGAGAAAAGCACCATCCAACTTTGCCATCTGCTTTAAGGATGCTGTTTCAGTAAAAGAGCTTTCTGCTGAACATGACCAGACTTTAATCCATCCTTTACACAGCATCAGCCAAGTGTCTAAATATAAGCAGCTCTTGTGGTTCAGAACACGTCAAACACATATTCTAAGGTCAAAACGTTAATAATCAACAAAGTAGACTGTTGACTCAAACATAGGAGGTAGCAGGAAAAATACGGCTACTGTCTTATTCAGAATTTACTACGCAAAACTATAATTCCTGTTTAAGTTATCAAATAAAGTCAGAGCTAATGTGCTACCAAACAGTTATCAGAAGCATTTATTTCTCTAGGCGCCATGGAGACGTTATATTTACACTGATAGGTTATTAATAGTTAATCAGAGTAAACAGTAATACCAGTAAACTCAAATTAGGAATGAAAAATTGTACCGGATTCCGACCATTTGGCTATGCTAACCGACTAGAGCTAGCCTTGGCTTAAATGGCTAACAATGACATATTCCATGTTTAAGAAAAAACGGTAATTATTTGGAAATCAATCTGAGAAGTCGTGGCTTTGCTTGTTTAATATTGAAGCTATGGAGTATTTTCTTTCCTTAATTATTCAGTCAACGTTCACAAAGCATTCCATCGCGACATGTAGATGGGCGCTATACAATGTAGCAGCCACGCTTCAACAGCTAGCCGACGCTAGCTAGCGGGAAATACGAACCAAACTGTGGTCATATTAAGTCCTACTGCTTCTTGTCTTTAGGCTACTTTATATTGCATTCGTTTTAACTCACTGCTGTGAAAAAACACGAATTGTATTTAACGTACCGCGTCTTCCCAGTTCTGTCTGTTGTAAGTATTAGAGCCCAGGGAGGTCGCCATTTTGGAAAGTGTAGCCAAACGGTCCAAAGGAGACGTATCATTGGGGTGCAGTACCGGCTTCTGCCTTAAGGGGCCGCCTTGTTTCAAAAATAACAGTTATGGCCCTTCTGAAATGAAGCCACATTACATTAAAACTGTTATAAGTACACATTTATTAATATAACCTTATGCAATGTCATAAAAAGTAGTGCAGTTAGGAAATTATTGTTTTAAAATGAAAAAGTCATTAATGTTTCACTTACTATTAAAATGTTATAGATTTTTCACAACTATCAAATGTATTTTATATTATCTTCTAAATGATTTATATTCTTAAATATATGTCAAGAAATAATTAGTTTTGCTTTTTACTTAATATTTTGGTTATTTCTTTGATTTTTTCTTGAGGCTCTCGTCAGTATATTACTGCTACTGTCATATTTATATTGACTGGATTGACTTTTATTGTGAAATGCCTATGAGCTACATGTTTTTTGAATTAGCACTAAATAAACTGAAATGAACAAATTCAATATAGACTATTTAGTTAATTCAATTCCATTCCACTTTATTGTCCACCATGAGGAAGTTTTTTGCTAGAAGACCTAAGATAAAATCACTCAAATCCATGAAACAAAATAAACCAAACACTGGATAGCAAGTGAGGTAAAATGAAAAAAACAAATATATAATGAAGCATGATGGTACAAAAAAGAACATTAAACCTGTACTTTTTTCACTTAAGTATGTACACTGTAAAATAAATACATTTAGGTAATAAATTATTAACTTTTTTCTAAATACAGATACAAAGCTTCTCAAAAAGAAACCACAATTTTCACTTGTGTGTTTTGTTGATGACATCCCAACAGGAAGAAAAATCAAGCTGATCAACTGGTAATAATAAGCATTATGAACAAAATAATAAAAAATACACCTGAAGGAGAAAAACAAGAAAAATCATGTTGACAAGCTCAGAAGAATGTTGATCAGTTGATTTATGTAGTGACATCAATGACAGGCCTATAGGGAATTGTATTTTGGAAAGATTTTATTAGGTTGGATAAAAAGAAATCCAACAACCCATCAAAACTGATGGGAAATTGACCACAACATGTTCACAGGTGACCAACATCTAAACCATGTTTGATTACTTTTACAGAGAAATCTGGTGGACTTTTAAATGCTTTCTTCTGTTCACCCTTATTTATTTACAATTTATTGATCAATCTTACATAACTTAACCACCATTTTTCATAGACAAATAAAAAAAAGGAAGAGAGTTAGTGTTGTCCATTTCCAATCCATCCACCAACATAGATCCGCCTACCTGGCTCAGTACAGGTGAGGATATCTGTGCCTTGGTGACCTCAGATTAGACTTCAAAGATTATGGCTGCCTAATCCTGAACGTTAACTGAAGTTTAGAGCGAGGTTATGGAGTCAAAGGGCAGAGATTATTAGATACAAGCTGGGAGAGCCATGTCCTTTTCATTTAAACATAGTTTGCATAGGGTTAGGAGATTTGTAAGCTTTTTTTTCAGTAGTCACAGCCTCATAGCACATGATAAATGGTAATGCCTTGCCTCTTTCATGTTAAAGAAAGTAATTCTTCTTTTGCTAAGGTATAAAAATAAAGCCCCCCCTGGTATATACCTTCCATAATGAATCATTTGACTCTGTCTGCTGTGTCATGTGACATAATGAGCTAACCACAGCTGCCTGAAAGGAAAGCTTTGGGTTTTAACCTCTTGGTAGTTAAAATCACACTTCTTTATATGGTTTTTAGGCGTACTAGCATTTAGAAATGACTCTTCTCTGTATTATTTCTTTTTTTGTATATAAACTTTTTTTCTTTTTTTAAGGGGAGGGAGCAGCTAAGATTCTCTCTCAAGTTTTTATATAAGAAGTTGTATTTACCAGAAATTAATGTTACATTTTGGGGAAAATATAATTGCTTTCAAGCAGGTATAACATTCAACAAAGTTTTTTTTTTAATGCTGTATTCAATTTTTCACAACACATGTCATCTCAAGACACTTTACAGTTCATTAGTTCATACAGTCAAATCGATTGAAAGTTTTCTATCTAAGGAAAACCAGTTGATTGCATCGACTCATTGACTCAAATGCAATCCCTCACACTAAGCATGCTTGTAGCGACAGTGGAGAGGAACAACTCCCTTTGAACAGGAAGAAACCTCCAGTAGAAGTGTGAGCGGCCATCTGCCGAAGCCGACTGGGGTTCAAGGAGGCAGAGATACAAAAAGCAACTGTAAAAGGCGGCCGTGTCCAGGAAACACACAGCCAGGCAGACGAGCTCTGAGCCAGAGGATGAAAAGAGCACATCCAGCCATTCACAGTCAGAGAAACAGGACTACACTGGAAAAACAGGCCGATCTCCAACATTTATAAACAAAGGTGTTGATGGCAGCAGGACAGCTGATATTTATCTCCATGGTGGTGTCACAGCCAAACAGGAACAGATGAGGCAAAGCTACGATGAGAAAAAGCAAAAAATAATTTTATATCAAACTAATATTTTGGGGGATTTAGTGTCACAGGTCTTAATTGGGAGTGCCTGGAAAACACTACAGCTGTTATTTTGTAATCTAAATACTTTATACTACAAAACTTTAGGTATTTTAAGATATTTTTAGATTTATATTGGCATAAATATAAATATTGTTGGTATGTGTGGGTCCCATTTCTAACTTTCTGGAGGCATTTCAGAGCACTTTATGAAAAATAAGATATAAAAAAAATGGAATCAAATCAAAAGCTGTGTGAGAATAGCAGGACACAGCATATAAATGCCTTAATAATCTGAGAGGATGCAGATAAGCCAGTGCTCCTTACATGCGCACAGGAAAGAAAAATGCGCATCGCTGGCGCCTCCTGAAGACAGTTATGGGCTACTGCCGATGCTCGGAGCTGCAGAAACAGAGGGGCTTTCTCACATTTCCCGACCTGTCCCCGGCTGCGACCGCCGCTCTGCCGCTTCCACAACACGGCCGACAGAAAACCGAGGCGACCACCCGCTCCAGGCTCCCTCTACAGCCCCGTTTACCCCAACCAGCCCGGACCAAAACCCACCAGGTGAGGACATCGACACACGAGGCGAGCCCGCTCGGTGCGGCTCGCCTTTCGGTAGCTACAGCAGCGAGGAGCTCCGGCGCTCAGAGGCCGGGGGCTCGTGTCTGGCGCAGGCGGAGATGAGGCCAGCTTTTTCCGGCCTGACTTTCCCCGGCTCTAAACACAAAGCCCCGGCGGTAGAGTGGAGGCTCCGCGCGGCTTTCGGGCTTTCTCGTCGGGATTCGGAGCAGTAGGAGGAGGGGAAGCTAGCGTTATTGTTGACGGGGTGGAAGTGTCTGTGCCCTGGGATAGAGCTGCGCGTCCGGCTGCTGCTCTCTGTGATTTATCGTCGGAATTCCTTTATGGAGTCTGGGTCCCTGCAGCGCAGCAAAGCGGCTCCACACCAACTTGTTTTTCTAAGTTTGCAGCAGCCTGGATGTGCACAGCTTTATCTGCTCCACTTAAGTTGAAGTTAGGGCGAGGAATCCGAGACAAAGTGTAACAAAAAGCAGGAGAAATCGCCCTGTGTGTTTACATTAACATCCAGTTAGGCTGCAAATGAAAGAGTGGACAAAAGATTAGAAAAGCAAAGCAATGAGGGCTGTAACTTTCCATTAGGCTGGGGCTCAATTGTCATCTCTGATAACATACTGAGTTATGCAGGAGCAAAATATGTTATTTAAGGCGTGCAAATAAAATCCCCAATGCTTAATAATCGCTTATTAATCAATTTATTTTTTTCTTGATCTTTCTGAATTGATTTGTTTCCTTTTAAGGATTTTAAACAGAAATATTTGCTTGGAATAACATAGTATAACAAGAATTATAACCTTTGATTTTTGTTAAACCAAAATACCATCTAAGTGCTGTTGTTTGGAAATGTTTACATGCTGGAAATGGTGACAATTATTTGTTTTCAAGCATTTAATGGGTACAAAAAAGAATATTTTTTCATGCATTGATTATATTTTACCTGCTCATACCCTTTGGTAATTTATTTATGTTTCAAATTTGACATAAATCTTTTTTCTTATTGATTTTTATGCATTAATGGTCGGAGCTGCTGGTTTTTCTCTTTGCAAAGTTTCTTTTTTTTATCAATTAGAGAGTGATCAAATTGCAAGATTATTCACATTGATGTATCTATCTGTTCGTCCCTTATGTTTATCTGGTCTGATGCATCTGGCTACATGTGGATTTAATGTATTTCGTAACTGAGAAGGAAAAAAACAACACATTTTTAGTCTTATTTATGATTCATTTAATGAATAAGAAACACAATATACATTTTTTTTTCTAGAATCAGCTTTTTGGCCAAGATAACATACACAAACAAGTAATTTGCCTTTCTTTCATGTGTACAGCCTGCAGACATTAAGTATATATATCTATACGCTAGAGATTAAATGATAGATAAAGGGTATAATATGAGTATGATGGGACTATTTAGATAGATAGATAGATGGATGGATAGATAGATAGATAGATAGATAGATAGATAGATAGATAGATAGATAGATAGATCGAGCAGGTTTTGGTTGTGCAGACTACAAAATCACATGAAAACTGGCAGAGTTTGATCTATGGCTAAACAATTAGTGCTTCTGATTAATTTTTTTTTTCTTTAGTACTGAAACTATTAGAATGTTTTAGATCTTGTGGATGTATTATTAGCCTTAAATTTATGGCAAATTTATCACTAATGATGCAATGTCAGAAAACAATCGTCTTAATAATCATCTTTCTGGGCAAAAACAGACATGAATGCATTTTATGGAGCATGATTCCCTCAGTTTTTCTTTGCTCTTTTGTAGGAAGTAGAATATTTTCTCTACAAAAGTTTGTTTTAATGTTTATGGCAATCTCTCTGTGCCTGTGTCTTCAGAGCTCAAGCTTTAGCTTTTGTTTTTGTGGAGCTAATGTTTGCTTCCACCTAGAGCTGCATCTATTAAACACTACAAACACTTGACTGTGCTCTGCAGGAGGAAAAGAAAAGGGCCGTCCAGACCTGCTTGAAATCTTTCGCCCTGGGGATGCATGCGCATGCAGAAGCGCGCACCCAAGTGAGCAAAAGATTACTGAAGAAAAATGACTCATGCTCAGAATGTATTTGGCAAAGTCACAAGGACTTTTCCATGCATTTTTCGCCCTCAGCTGCAGAGCGAATTCCTGCAACGACAACATACTCGTCCCTCTGGTTTCATAAGATCTATTATTTGATCAGTGTTTCACATTGTTGTTATCCTCCATCTAATTGTGTATCGCTTTGCTCCTCCCTGTATCTCTTAGTGGTGGTTGGAGGGGGGGACGCAGCTTATTCCATTTGGAGATTACTGTCATTCGTTTGTCAAATTTGCAGAGAGCCGACTCTCAAGTTGTGTTCTGTTTATTTGTGCCAACTGTTTGTCTGGTCGATCTAAACCTCCATCTGACTGCTCCCGCTGCCTGCCAAGCATGCTGTGGTCTGGCACTTTCTGATGATGGAGGCTGCAACCGCTGCTGCTCCAAGCGTTCGATTATATATTAGCGTGTTTTTGACTTGGATAGACCTACGTTTTAATGCCTTCGAGTTGCCCCAACTTACTCAAACATTCAGCTTGTCGCCTTCTATAGGTTTAAGATGAAATGCATTCTTTGCTGCAGCTGGAAGGGGAACAAAAAAGAATAAACACAAAAGAAAAAAAAATAGATCAGTCATTGTTATCTGCACTTCATGATGTCAGTTTAATCGGGTGCAGGTGCAGTAACTCTACCATCACATTTATTGCTAAGCAGAGTAATTGTTGGGAGCTACAGGGTCCACAACATGCCAGCTCTTGTATTTTTCCATGTCACTGCCTCTTGTAGGCACTCTCAGTGTGTGGGGAGCAGACCTCTCTTCAGAGTGTGGCTAAAGCCAGGCATCTTTCCAAAACTTAAAGCCCCCCACCCCCTCGTCTTGCACACACACCCACCACCACCCCAGCTCCTCTGCTGGGTATAAGCACGGCTTTGTGCTTCGGTACTCCTCCCCGGCGGTTCTTATTCATATACTACTACAACGCCACTTGCTCTGCTAGATGGTCGTATCTACAGCTGGGAGCTCTCCCAAAATATCCCGCTGTTTGACAGACAAACTCGCATGTTTCCTCATTAAAAAATCAAATCCTTGGATTGATATGCCAGAAGGCGAGAGGCAGGGTGTAATATTGTTACCCGTGAAGCAGCTTGTATTTAGGTTTCTAAGCTCAGGCTTTGCAGTGGCGAGGGGTGCCCAGGAGTAGGAGCAGAGTAAATACATTTCAAACAGCTCAGCAAAACCGAGTATTAGCAAATGATCCGATAGCATCTGTAATCCTCAGGAAAACCTGGAGAGTTGTCTTTTTATTTCATTTTTTTTGACTGGTGCTAGTCTCTATTAGACAGTTGGCAAGCACTGGATGGGAGGGGAGGGGGCGTCCACATGTATGACCGGCTGTCCAGGCTAACGGTAAGGCTGAACACTACAGTATGCGGGTAGATCAGATTACTGGACGATTAGCCGCGGCCCAGAGAAATGATTTTCCTCTGTCATAATTCCCCAGGCTGAATTATGCTGGCCAGTGACTCACAGATACTCCACACTATGGGCCAGAGTACAGCGTGGCATAACTGTTGCTCTCTGGAGAAGCAGAAAAAGACGGTTAAATATATGTATGCTGCCATCGCTGCAGCAGAGAACAAAGCAGTCCTCAGTCATTGTGACCCAACATTAGCAGATGAGCAAAGGTACATTTCAGAGCCACAACTGAGCAGAGAGCAGCCTGAGTAAAAATGCTGTTCAAACAACGTCAGCCTGCTGTTTTAGATTTTTTTTATTACAATGGTTATAAGGTGTAATGGTTTTTAAACAGAAATGAATTCATTTGAAACATACAGGCAAACAGTATTCATGATGTTGTTTAAAGAACAACCAAATTCAGATGATGCATCTTATCAAATGATCTGAGTTTATGTTACTGATTTTAGCTTATTCAAATTTCTCTTTAGGAACCATGATGTATAAAGATTTTTATTTAAAATATTTTCCTCCCAGCCTTCATGCAATGATGGGTCATTGATTATACAATATATATCGCAGATAAGGCATTACCACATTTTCTGTGTAAAGGATTTGCTTTTATTGTTGTGGAATTGATGTGTTAAACTAGCTTTAGCCTCTGATATTGGAGATTATTGACAGAAGGATTGCTGAAATAGCAGCGTCTGTGAGTATATGCTGGAAAAAGAAATATGGCAGCGTTCCCCAAAATCTCACATTTAGGTTAAAGTTCTACAATCTTTGCATTACTCTCTCTCTCTAGCCTTCCTATTATCTGCCCTGAAATCACTCCTCTCTCTGAATAAACCAAACTTCTCAAATCTTAAAAATTCAGATAAAAAAAAAAAAAAAAAAATGATGTTACAGCTGTTCACCTCCCCCTTTCTTTGACTTCTTCTAAAACATTTGACCCTCTTTCTCTCAGTAGCTGATGGGTGTGTAAACATCGACCCTCATCGAAACATGTTAACAATTCATTTAGTGAATGCTGAATGAAAATCCATGACATCTTCTCTGCAACTGTTTATGATGAAATTTTCAAGGAAAATTGGTAGTAAAAATATGTTGTTGTTTTTTTTTATTTAATCCTTTTTATTAAGATACTTTTGGAACTAGTGGATTTTAGTGAAAGTAAGGCTTAATTTTGAAAGAGTCAGGAAAGTTGGTTTTGATTTATATACCTGATATCTGTAAGAGAAATAACATGGTCAAATCAAATTTGAGTTGTTTGTTTGTGTCAGTTGATATCTGTGTAAATAACCTTTAGAAGGGCAGATAATAGGGGTGTCCTGTTGCAATTTTTTATTTCCGATACGATACCGATATTGCAGCTATGAGAATTGCCTGATTCCGATATTGGCCAATACGATGTTAGTATGAGTCACTCCAGGTTTTATTACTTACTTCATATCGCTAAATGTTAGAAAAGGATTGGACAAATAAAGTTACTAAAACAGGAAAAAAG